GCTTAGGCGACAGAGTGAGCCTCTGTCCAAAAAACAAAACAAAACAAAGATTCTCTTTTCTCTTCTCCCAGGAAAAGGCCTGGGATAGAGAAAAGAGACAGATTCCCACTCGTGTAAAAGTTCTCCCGTGGGAGACAAGGATATTGTTTAAGAGGAAAAATTCCTACACAAGCAAACGAACAGCAGAAGACCCATCCTCCCTGTGCAGGGCGGGAGCACAGTGGACCACCTGCTTCTCCCTAGGCACTGCTGTGTCTTGGCTCACAGGAGCCTCTCTTCCTGGAACTGATTGAAATTGATTGGTCCCTTGGGGCTCCCTTCCCATGTCACCCTCATGAAGCCTTCTCTGATAGCCCCACACTCGGTAGATCTTACCATATATGACTTGTGTTACTTTTACTATTTCGATGCCTTTCTCCTCCTCACCAGCTTATGACTCTCTCAAGGATCAGGAGTATGTCTTGCTCATTTTTACATGTCCTATGGTATTGAAAAGGAGCATAAGCGGTACTGGATAGATGTTGAGAATTGAGTTAGTGGAGTTTTTGCCTTGACACCTGCAACTGCAGCGATTACAGAAGCAGCGGGTCACGCTTGGGTGCAGGGCAGTACCTCTTCAGAGCTGGGAATAACCCGCGGTGAGGCATCAGGCTTGGGTGCATTGACACACGAAGGTCACTCAACCCTGACTCTGCCAGTATGTCTTCATTTGGGAAAATTTTTCATCCAAAATCTCCCCAGCTTGAAAATGCCTTTTAAGCAGAGCTTATTTGATTTCCTTTCCGGAATCCTTGACATGGAGTGATGGAGCTGGAAGGGAGTTTTAACATCCCGGGGTCGACCTCCTCATTTTACAGAAGGAAATCTGTCAAACACTCACACCCTCACCATGTCTTCTCAGTGCGTTGGCCCACTTTCTGCTTCCTACCAGGTTTACTTTCCTGCTGATTCTATTCCCCGTGACCTCGGGCAACATGCCTCATTTCCTGAGGGAATTCTCTGTTTATCTGTAAAGTTTCTGCTCATTCTGGGGCAAGAAGAGGAGCGAGGGAGGAGCGGGGAAGGAGTGTGAACAGCTGCCATGTTGAGGGACTGCCTGCCTTGATGGTGTCCATAGCTAGCAGAGGAATGACCCCAACAAGTAATCACAAAGAGGGTTGGGCATGGTGGCTCACGCCTGTAATCCCAGCACTTTGAGAGGCCGAGGTGGGGAGATTACCTGAGGTCAGGAGATCAAGACCAGCCTGACCAACATGGTAAAACCCCAACTCTACTAGAAATACAAAAATTAGCCAGGCGTGGTAGCGCACGCCTGTAATCCCAGCTGCTCACGGAGGCTGAGGCAGGAGAATCACTTGAACCCAGGATGCAGAGGTTGCAGTGAGCCAAGATCTTGCCACTGCACTCCAGCCTGGGTGACAGAGTGAGACCCTGGTTAAAAAAAAAAAAAAAAAAAAATTACAAAGAGGTATAAAGAATACCCAAGGCTTTAGACAAAAATCAGTCTAGGAACATTTCTCTGAGGTCAGTGGGATGGAGTAACGGAGTTACAGAGTCCGCCAACCTCTCTCTGTTAGCACCTCTAACTGATGCATTCGTGAAGCTCATTCTTTTGGTGTAGAATTGTGAAGTCAATTTTTTTCTTTGTCAAGTCTCACATCTAAAATGAAGGCTACACACAGGTGATTTACCAAACTGCCTATTTAAGGAAAGTAGCAACTGTTTTATGGAAAGTAGCAACTGTTTTATGAAGTGCCCCAGTGTTCAGGAAACCCTACAGCTTCAAGGCATGTTGTGAAGATGAATGAGGTAACCGTGGCAATAATACTTTGGGACCTCAAGAAGTTGAAAGATTAAATGTGAAGGGCTGAACATTTTGTGTTTGGCTGACAAAGGTGAAGATGGGAAATTCCATTGTGGGCAGTTGTCTTTACAAGAAGGGATAATTACACAAACACATCATCTCAATGGGTTTCCGCACTGTTTTTTTTTTTTAATATTTTCAAGCCTAGAGGATAAAGATTTGATCACAGAATTCCTAGAATGAAAGAAAGATGATCAAGGGACACATAAGCTCTCAGAATTTCCACAGTTCTGAGAAAGGTGCCTTCAATAACGTGCCATATTGGTAACAGCAGGAGAATTCTCTTTCTGACCACATCCCAGGACCCAGTAATATAGAGACTAAAAACACTCAAGTTGACTAACACGTCCTCATAAACCCTCGCCACGTTAAATAGTGGCTTTGGAAATTTTCAGAATGAAAATCTGCCCTTATGAATCAGCTAGAAATTGCATCTGTTGACAGTGTGATTTCATTAGAGGACTCTCACCCTGAGGAATAAAAAGATTGGTTTGCTTCAACACTGAGTTCTTAGAGAAAGAAGGTCTCTGATGAGATGGTTTCCTACCCTGGAGTGATGCCTGAAAATTCCTGCTGATAACAGAAACTACCCATGTCATTGTCTTTGGCCGCTGGGTCCTCATTTGCCTCATGATTGGACAATTTTGAGAGCCTCATGACCTGTCACTGTGCACCTGATCTCTCCACCCCATGCCAGTGTCATCTCCATGAAGCTCTGATCCCTGTTTGCAGTGAACAGAAACAACGATCCAGGGAGACCAGGTTCAAACCCTGGCACTGTCACTGCCTGTGCGAATCTGAGTTTTGGGTTTTTCTTCATCTAGGGGATCATGACGTCCATAGTCCAAAGTGACTATGAAGATTACAATGGGACACATATCTGGCACATAGGAGGAACTTTATAAATTATAATTTTAAATTTTCTTGTAGTTCCGTATTACCTACTAAGTGAAGTTAAGAAGTTATAACTAGGAGAATTCTCTTTCTGACCACATCCCAGGGCTCAGTAATACAGATACTAAAAATGCCCCATGCCTTAGATGATTTGTTTGACCTCATCCTAACTTTCCAGTTTCAATTCCCCACATCCCCATCCTCCCTGTCCAGGGCAGAAGCACCGTGGAGCACCTGCTGCTCCCTAAAGCACTGCTGTGTCTTGGCTCATAAGGGTCTCTCTCCCTGGAATCTCACTGATGGAAATGCACTGGTCCCTTGGATCCCCCATTACATGTGACCTCAGGAAGCCTTCTCTGGTAGCCCCCCATTCCGTAGATCTTACCACCCTCTAACTGGTATTACTATTATTATGTCCAGGCTTTTCTCCTCCTCGCCAGGTGATGAATTGCTTAAGGGTAGGGACTATGTCTTACTCATTTTTGTATTTCCTACAGTGTTGAGGGGCATACAGGGTATGGACAGATGTTGAGAATGGAGTGAAAGAAAGGGGAACTCTACTTCCCCTGCCCCCACCAAGACCATTCAGACCCCTGGATAAGTCACCAGTGGCTGGAAATAACACAAGTTTACTTGAAATGTGTTTCCCAGAGGCAGAACATGACTAATTGTAAAGATTTTGCTGTTCTGGCTTGGAGTGACTTAGCGAAGACCCTGTGGGGGTAGAAATCACATTAAAAACCTTCCTGAAAGTATGGCCTCTTTATAAGAATGACACGATGGACTCTGAGGACTCAGGGGAAAGAGTGGGAGGGGTGAGGGATAAGAGGCCACACATTGGGTACAGCGCACATGCTCAGGTGATGGGTGCACCAAAATCTCACAAATCCCCACTAAAGAACTTATTCATGTAACCAAACACCACCTGTCCTCCAAAAACCTATTGAAATAAAACATATATAATAAATACATAAAATGCCCTCTTTAAAGACACTGCTACCTCTGGGCCAGCACACAGCGCAGCATGACTTAGCCACTTCCCCTGAACAAGCGAGCAGACGCCTCAAAGGCATCATCGTCTTTCACTTCTGAATAGATTATTTCCACAGCCGGTTAGCATTCTACTTCTTGCCATTATGAACCTTCAAAAAAATTTATAAACTTTCATATCTGTCTTCCTGAGTAAACAAAGGGAAGACATTATTAGAAAATTCACACTCAATTAGGAAGAGTGGTTTGAGGTAGAAGTTGGTGGTTTTTTATTTCTTTTAAAAAAAAATCTCGGCCAGGCACAGTGGCTCGTGAACTCTGGGAGGCCAAGACGAGTGGATCGCTTGAGCCCAGGAGTTCAAGACCAGCTTGGGCAGCATGGCAAAACCCCATCTCCACAAAAAAATCAATTAGCCAGGTGTGGTGGCATGTGCCTGTAGTCCCAGTTGCTCAGGAGGCTGAGGTGGGAGGACCACTAAGCCTGGGAGGCAGAGGTTGCACTGAGCCAATGTCACGCCACTGCACTCCAGTCTGGGTGACAAAGACCATGTCTCAAAAAAAAAAAAAATCTTTGAGAAAACCCATTTAAAAGAAGGAATGAAATTTAAAATTTGCATATATAAACACATATACATATACATATCATATGTATACATAGGAATATGAGAAGTAGTCATATTCTAAAGGTGAGTATGCATATTTGAAAAAATTTCTGTAAAGTTTCACTTGTAAGGAAATTCCTAGGTATTAGTTCCTGAGGCAGTAAAGCAAGGCATACATCCTTGAAGCTAAGCTTTTCTGAGATCATAAATTATCCCAGTATTTGATATATGAGCACTGATGTCTCCAGCAAATTAACCTGAACTTAAAGAGCTTCCTGATAGCCTCTTAGCTGACGCATGGAGTGCAGAGAATAAAAGGAAATTCATTGAAGAATAAAAGATAACTTTTAGAGGAACCTGCTCATCAGGGCCCTGGTAACATCCCAATATCATGTCACACTATTTGTCCCAGAATTAATTGTCAAGGACCGTGAGTGACGGGAGAACCTAATGCTATTTCAGGCTGTCTTGACAGACCTAGGAATACGGAGGCTTAAACCGGGGTCCCTGTGGGTCATGGGCAAGAGGTGGAACCCAAGATTCAACTCCCTTCTCGGAACCATCTACCTGGGGCTCCGTCTGGTTCTGTGGCTGGGAGAAGGATGCCCGTCAGCCTTCCCGGAATTCCGGGGGCACCCACAGGCCCTTACCTGCCTGGCAGCTGGGCACCATGATGAACGTGAGCAGTCCCCACATCAGCAGGTGTGAATCCATCTTCCTGGCCCTTGGGAGCAGCCGGGGCAGTCAAGAGGAGGCCTTTCTCTGCAGAAGGCCCAGTTGCGGTCAGCCTTTTCTTGGCATCGTGCTGGGAGGATGTGGGATGGGAAGATCAATCCGCCCGGACTGTCACCCCTGTGGGCCCATCAGGTATCTATCGGAGTCAGGAGCTGCTCTCTTTAAGTATTGGGCTGGTGCGTTCAGCCAGGAAACTGCCTCGCACTCTATTCTCTCATCTCAAATATAGGAAGTGTTTTTTTCTTTTTTTTTTTTTTTTTTATGACAATATAGTTTGCGGTAATATTTAAAAGGTTTTTTTCAAGTTCAATTGCTGGAGGTGTGAGCTGGGGTTGATGGGCAGGATCGAGCTTCATTTATGAATCCTTTCTTCAGCTACGCCCACAAAAGGAGAGGGAGATTCCCCTGCCGTTGAAGGTAGGGTGAGCAAGCACTTCTTGGCAGTGGTCTAGCCCAGCACTTTGCAAATTGAGTCCTCCCCCAGGGTTACAGCTTCCTGGGGAGTCAGCAGGGGTCACCTGGGATGAAGGAGCAAAGCCCTGTCAAGATCCTGGTCAGGCAGCCTCCAATATTCAAATAATGGAGAAGGATGCAGCAAACCGATGAATCCTGAGAATTCATAAATAATCCCCCATGACTTATAATCTGTGAACTATAAACGAGCCATTTCATTACGGTGTCCTGGGCTCCTGAAAGTGCACTGTCATTTTATAAGTTGTTTTGCTTCCAGATTTGTCTTTCTCTTAAAGGATCATGCGAAAAGTGGTCTTTGGTTTTAAACTTTGGATTTTTGTAAAATTCAGTCTTGTTTATTTATGACCCGAGTGCTCCTCTGATAATTGTGAAATGGTTGACTGTTTTGCTCCCTGGAAGTTTGTCTCAGACTTAAAGCCTTTGGATAGTTAGAGCAAAACACAGTTGTTTAAATACTAGAAAGCAAGCACAGATATTAACAAAAAGAAAATCATCCAGGCAAGCAAAGGAATTCATGCTTCCAAAATGCATCACATTGGCTGGGCCTGGTGGCTCATGCCTGTAATCCCAGCACTTTGGGAGGCCAAGGTGAGTGGATCACCTGAGGTTTGGAGTTTGAGACCAGCCTGGCAGACATGGTGAAACCCCGGTCTCTATTTTTAAAAAATACAGAAATTAGCCAGGTGCAGTAGAACACACCTACAATCCCAGCACTTTGGGAGGCCAAGGCAGGTGGATCACTCGAGGTCAGGAGTTTGAGACCAGCAAAGGACATGATCTCATTCCTTTTTATGGCTGCGTAGTATTCCATGGTGTATATGTGCCACATCTTTTTCATCTAGTCTATCATTGATGGGCATTTCAGTTGGTTCCATGACTTTGCTATTGTTAACAGTGCTGCAATAAACATATGGGTGCATGTGACTTTATAGTAGAATGATTTGTATTCCTTTGGGTATATAGCCAGTAATGGGAATGCTGGGTCAAATGGTATTTCTGATTCTAGATGCTTGAAAAATGTCCATACTGTCTTCCGCAATGGTAAAAACTCTTTTCTTATCCTTAGAAAAAATGCACATCAGCACACACCCTGGATAAATCTGTAGGAAGTTTCAGGATGGGCGCTCTGTTTTGTTTTACTTTGTTTTGTTTGAGACAGGGTTTCTGCAGTGCAGTGTTGCGATCTCAGCTCACTGCAGCCTCTACCTTCTAGACTCAAATGATCCTCCCACTTCAGCCTTCCAAGTAGCTGGGACCACAGGCATGTTCCCACCTCAGCCTCGCAAAGTACTGAGATTACAAGTGTGAGCCACCACACCCAGCAGTTGTGGGCCCTTTGAACGTCAAGGGTCGAAGGATCTCAGGTTAAGGTGTGAAACTGCGGGCCTCTAGAGGATGGCCCTATGTCCAGCCTACCGGTGAGCTCACACCACCTAACACAGTGCATAACACATGTGGGTGTCCAGTCACTATGTATGAAGACACATGTGCATTGCATATGAATATAACTGGCATACACTAAAGCAGTTTCAAAAAAATTCTTCGTGAGGCAAATTCAAAGTTTTGTTTCAAACCTGCTGCAAGGAGGTAATTTCCAGTAAGTCCAGTTCAAAGATTTCTTACCTAGCAGAGGACTTTTTTTTCGAAGAAAAGGTATCTAGATAACATTGGTAGATTAAGTTCAAGAAAAGAACATTTGGTTAAAGGTAACTAAGTTCATCCAGGGACAGACGGTCAATAGAGCAAGCAAGTCTCACTTCATCAGGAAATTGCTCAAGTCTATTACCAGAAACGCTTGGTACTTCCCAGATGAAACTGCTCATCACAGCGGACAACAAATTTCTGACCCAGACCGACCTCCCTTAGGTTTAAGAGCATTAATGATCATAAGAAGAGCAATTGAAATTTTGGAAGGAAAAGTTGCTGAGCTGATGTGATCAGGAAAGTCCCACGTATTTTCCTTGAAGGATGGATGCAAGATCTGTGGATTTCAGCCACTGAAGCTGCCTAACCCAGGTGGAACATAACCGAGTGATGTGATAATGAGGCTGAGCTGGTGGGGTGTGCAGGGGAGACTGAGGCATAGAGGTGCTGAGACACTCCCCAGGAGGGAAATGATAAGAACTGGAGGAAGGTGAAATAAATTGGAATGGCAAGAAGGCTTGATGCCAGAATATCAGGCAAAGGGAAAATGCAGTTTTTAATGCCTGGATATGGGGCAAGAAGTGGGAAACAGAATTTGTGAGGTTTGGCGAGGAGAAAATTCACTGATTTGAGCTCATGAAATGGATTGGTGAACTCCAAGTGCACCAGGCTGAGGTTGGGAACGGCGGAGAGGCGGTAGCATTTGTGGATGGGGGTTAGTTGTTCACTTGGATTGTTCTCTTGTTCCTACAGTGTTGAACGGTCCTTGAAGACAGCATTTATTATCCAGACAACTTCAAAGCTTGACTTGCCACCCCCGACTCCAACCACAATAATGAACAGTTAGCTTACAACAGAAATCATTTCTGTTTATGAGAGTCTAGATTGGGGAATGGGGGCAAAGGAGTAGAGGAAAAAAGGAGATTGGTGATGAGAAATCAATCACCTGTCGTTTTCCTTTACCCAGCCTCAGGGCTTGTCAGTGGTCACTTCAACAAGGCCCATAGAACCAGTGGGCGTGGTGGCTCATGCTTGTGATCTTAGCACTTTGGGAGGCTGAGGCGGGCGGATCACCTAAGGTCAGGCATTCGAGACCAGCCTGGCCAACATGGTGAAACCCCGTCTCTACTAAAAACACAAAAATTAGCTGGGTATGGTTTTGAGTGTCTGTAATCCCAGCTACTTGGGAGTCTGAGGCAGGAGAATCGGTTGAACCCAGGCGGTGGAGGTTGCAGTGAGCCAAGATCACGCCATCCACACTCCAGCCTGGGGGACAAAAGCAAAACTCCATCTCAAAAAAAAAAAAAAATGCCCATAGATCCAAGTGGCACAGACACCCCTATGAAAGGAATAACCATGGATCATTTAATGCAGAAATAAAAGGGAAGGAGCAAGGATGGGGTAAGGAAAAAGGAGGTAGGAGAGAAGTGAGCACAGAGGGGAATAGTGGGCCCCCTTGGTGACGGGCACCATAGCTTGCTCACTTTGACTGCTGAGGACGTGTCACTCTGGAGACTACAGGCTGCTAAGAGGACCTCTGTGCTGAATCCCCCGAGGATCGTTCTCAGGGATTAAAACACTGGTGCTCCGAAGCTCACTTGGTGTGGAGGTGTAACATGCAAATTAGAGGTGGCCAGGGTGAGAAAACTTGGTCTACAAAAGAAACGCTGGCCCATTATGGAGAAGTCATGTTGAAGAGAGTGGCAGAGAAAGGACCCAGACAGAGAGGAAAGAGCAGAGGAGCTTTGGAGAAATAATTGAGAGCTTGGAAGAAAATTTAAAAATCATTTGAAGAGAAGAGTTGGCAATATGTTAACTCTTCTCCCCAACAGCCCACAAAAAATCTTGGGTAAAATTCCCATTTCATCTTCATGCATTTTGGAATTGAATGAGGTTTGAGGATATGTTGAAACATGGATCATGACTTCCTCTGTGAGCCAGGACCTGTTTAGGAATTATGGGGTTTCTCCGTTTCCCCTCCTGCTGCTGTCCTCCTGACTGGTTCATTGCTTACCAGCATCTCCCCCAGGGGAGCGCAAGGAAAGGAAAAGGTAAGGCTGAGCATAGTGGCACATGCCTATAGTCCCAGCTACTCAGGAGGCCAAGGCGGGTGAGGATCGCTTGAGCCCAGGAGGTCAAGGCTGCAATGAGCTACGATTGTGCCACTGCATTCCAGCGAGGGCCACAGAGCAAGACCTTACCTCTAAAAAAAAAAAAAAAAAAAAAAAGGAAAGGAAAAGGTGAAAACCAGATGAAAGAATTTCACCTCTGTCACGTAAGCCATCAACAAACGTTGACTGAGCATCTGCAATTAATCAAAGCAACATGCTAGAACCTGCGGGGACAGCCAAGAAATAAAGACACAGCCCTGCACTGAGGATGCTGACAGTCTTCCCAAAGAGGAGAAGAAATGGGCACTAGAAAGGGGAGGCGACCACTCAGGTCTTCAGGGATCCGTTCCACGATCAGGCCTGCCCTGCACCGCATGCTGGCACCACATGAAAGCAGCTTCGCTCTCTCATCTCAGACTTTCTTTTCTCTAGAGGAGTGATGTGCTGAGCTGTGGTCTCAGAGCCAAAGTCTGAAGAGGAGACAACCCTTTGCTTTCTGGAAGAGTGGCAGTGGAAGGACCAAAGAGGTGGCAGAGAGCCTGCTGTTTATGTATTGGATGCTCTTATTAGGTTTAATCGGAGGTCATTTTCCCAGGCCTGTGGTGGCCCCCAGGCTTTTCTTTCTTTTATCTTGTAGACATGGACCTGAAATGTCCACATGAGCTCCCGCAAATTACATTTCACTTAGCTTGTGTACTCTTGGGTGCACCCTTTCGTAGAATTCAATTCAGTACATATCAGTGTAGGATCCAGGAACAGGGAGCTCTGCCCAGGGTCTGGGAGAAGCAAAAACAAAGAAGGGTTTTTGCTCCCAGAGAGCCAGTGATCTAAGTGTGGGAATTTGGATTGGAAGCAGAAAGCCCCCAATTAATTGCAAGCACATCTGTCAAATTAGTAATCCCATCAAGAGCAAATGAACCAATGCAGGACAGCCTGGAGCACGTGGGTCTTCCATCTTTGCTTGTTAAGTGGTTGGCGGATGGGTAGATGCTGTTGCTGAGATCGGTGCCTCCCATGGCTGGCAGGCCGGCAAGAACACATCAGATTCTGCCCCAGTTGGCACTACGCAAACAGGGTTATTTCTCTCAAACCGGTGTTGAGAGAACGCTGCTGCTAATTCTGTGAAATCTACAGGTGCATCCTGTTATTGCGGCACTGAGTTGAATTTCTGCAGTTTGTAATTTCCACCAGATTTTACTAGACAACGGCACAGGGGTCCTGTGGAAAACCAAAATCCACTATGAATCAAATAACCCAACTCTACTCAAACGTCTAGTTCCCAGGCCTCTATTCACTTGTGGGTTGTGCCACCCATAAAACACTGGGAGAGAGCAGTCAGTCAGTTTGTGTGAATCATGAACTGAATCCTCTGTCCCCAACAATTGAAAACTGACTTTGTGATCAATTTGTAGCTTATGGTGACCCATGCTGTTGGGTCCCACAGATGTTGTCAGGAGGTCCCCTTTCCATTTGTGAGGACATGTTTGCTGGGGGGATAGCAGCAAAGCTCCCTGCCACTTCTGTCATGGTTTTAGTTCAGGGATGGATAATAGGGTTTATCTCTCAAGCCAGCACTGATTAGTTACCAATTGTGGCTCAGGACGAGGATTCTGAACCCCGCTGGAGTGCAGGGGGCTGTGGTCTTTGCAGGGAGGTGAAGGCATGCTTGCGTCACGTTTTGTCTAGATGTCTGTACAGCTTTTCAGCTGACTTCCCTCACTCAGACGTTTCTCTCCACTCCATCGTTCTTACCCAC